TGAATTCACATATTGAATATGATTTCTAATATCTAATTTCTAACGTTATAGGCAGTCTGCCCGCCTTCGCAGCTAGGTTAAGGCCGCCCATAAAAAATAAGCCTTAAAATATCCCCAAAAAATCAATATAATGTTGATATTTTTTTTTTATCATCTTGAGTTTTAATTTAATGGAAATTATACTGATGCATATGTATGTATGGGGTCTCAACCGAGTTCTGCCAACGCCACTTCACGTACATCAGCTGTTTGTCACGTGACATGTTTAAAATTAGAAAAAAAATGTACGGATATAAAGATCGTAAAAGTTCAACGATATACGGATAATTTTTCAGCATGGAATTGATCGTGTTTTCTTGAAGACAAATTTCTTAACCCGAAAAGTGCTGGGAGCAACTTCTCCATGCCCAAGAAATATATAAAATTTAGCCGGCTTTTGAGAAACTATGTGCATATACACTATACGCATTGAAGAAATGTAAAACTACGGAAAAACTCAACAGCGCACAACTTGCTCCCAGCACTTTTCAAAATAGTAGGGACAATAGCTACATGTGTATAAAATATTATAATGTATAATCAAGCGTATATCGTTGAACTTTTGAGATTTTGGAGGGGTTGTACATGTGATTGTAGTACATTTCTGTATAAAAGTGCATGACTGCGGCTTTATAAGAGACCTAATAGTTATCAATTAAATAAGACTGTGAACTATTGATAAATGCATTCAAAAATATAAATCAATTATAGTCAGATCATGCTTACTTAGATTTAATTTTCATATTTTCAGTTCAGCTAATAGCTTTATCTGCGTCTCAAGTACAGAGAAACTGCGTGTCAAACTAGCCTATGACGTCATATCTGTTAGTACAGCGAGATCAAGTTGGCTTTGATTTTACATTCTAATAGTGTTGTAATGACAAGATAAGTTACACATTGATTAATATTTACAATTATCATGAGAAATCAAAGTATGTAAGAGTATATGAAAAAGAAAATTATTATTTATTCGCCGAGATTCATTTGTACAATTTCACCGTGACGTCATAATCGAATTCCCGAGGCTCTGCATACACTGATCTACCTTGGGTAGCCCTTAACCTAGTTGCGTTGTTTCCCCATCGTCTTTGTATTTTGAAAAAAAAAAACCAAATGGACAAATTCTCCCTCTTAATCAATAACATTGTTTTGGAATTTTAACACTACCTTTCTTCTAAATCAAATATTGTTCAGGCAAGTTGTAAGTTTATTTTTCTAACTGCTGCTTTCCATATAAAATAAATCCTTTTACTTGTAATATATTAGTGGTTGAAAAAAAAAATTATTTCACTGTTTATTCTGATTCATTACTGAAGCCAAAGAGATGAAATTTTAAACTTCCTGAAAAGCAACAATTTTAAATCAACAATTTCTAAGATGACAATCATGTTTGGAGCAGTTATTTAGAGCAGCTAGCACGAATCCGATTGTAAAGTCAATTACAAGAAGTCAAAAATTCCCTAATTCCGTAAAAAATCAGTGAGGCCGACGCAATGCTAATTGATCTATGACTCATCAAGGAAAAGTCACATACGAAACATCAGTTCAATATATGCAAACTATAATAAGAAAAAAAATTATATATATATTTAGAGTATCGTTTGAGTATGGAAGATAGTCGGTTTTTTATCGACTTAGTGCAGGCGAGACCGACATTTCAAACTCATAGCCATCCGATGACGGTAGTTGGACCTTCTTGTAATTTAACATAGAAATTGCAGATATGTTTAATAGACATTATAAAGAGCTTTATTTGGGTTAAATACATTAAAAAGAAATTAAGTTAACTTCGAATAAATAATAAGCCTCTGAGCTGACTATGTATAAAAAGACCATAAAATTCTTGTGATTTTATTTTCAACGAAACTTTGGAAAAGTATGGCAAGCCCTTTTGCTATTTATTCGGAAAATAAAATTTATCTAAAAAATACAGAGATATCTCTCAATTTAGAGAGATATCTCTTAAAAATAAAGATATCTCCAAACTTAAAGAGATATCTCTCATTTATAAGTAACATCTCTTTGAAAAGGAGATATCTCTTCAGCTTAGAGGGATATATCCATCACTTAGAGAGACATCTCTGATACTTTGAGATATATTTCTTCCTATCTCTCTTTGAGAGATACCTCTTTCGTGAAAATAGATCTCTGAACGTCGAAGAGATATCTCCTTCACCTAGAGAGATATACATGTATCTTTTACTTTTGGAAAAATATTTCAAAGTTAAAGAGATATCTCTTAAAGAAAAAGAGATTTCTCTCTTAGTGTATCTTAAGAGGTATCTTTTAAAAAGAGATAGAGAAAGAGATATTGTTCAAATGTGTATAAAAGAGATATCTCTCAAGCAAAAAAAGATATCTGTTTATTGCAAAGAAATATCTGTCTTCATTATTTTCATATAAATTCCATTTAAACTTATTCTTCCTTTCCGGAAGCAAGCACATTAAAGTATTTTTCATAATTTCGGCGTATTCCTGATATCCTACATTATAGGTTTACTAAACATGACAAGTAATCTCATGTTTGTAAAGTTGATTATTTCATAAGTTGAGAAAATTCGGTCCATTGCATTTGAGATTATTCTGATATTATTCTGGGTATTGCATGCTCAGTCTTTTTCTTACGACAGCGAATCTATTCTATTGACTGTACTTTCTGTTTCGCTTTCGTTTAAAGTGGATAATTGATTATTTTTTAAGGATGACTGAAAAATAGATATCTCTTTCATTAATAGAGATATCCCTTTAGCTTAGAAAGTTATCTCTTTTTGAAAACCTAATTAGATATCTCTCTAACTAAGAAATATATGTCTGTCTTTTTACCTTGTTCAAGTGATATCTCTGTCGCTTAAAGAGATCTTTTTAGTTTATAAAGATATCTCTATAAGTAAAAGTTATCTCTGTAAACCAATATCTCTTTTATTGGAAGAAAATTTTTATTTCACGAATAAATAGTAAAAAAGGGCTTGCCATAGAAAAATATCCTGGATAAGTTTGTCAACTTTGATCTTAATTTGTTTCCTCAACAGAACCCTACTATTTGTCAATTATCGCCTTTATAACACGTAATTAAATGTGATTTGTAAAAAATTAATGAATCATAACTTTGAAAAGTCTCCTATTTTTAAGTCACATGAGTAAACTTGGGTGACCTATTGCTATCTGTTTTCGTCCGTCGTCGTCTGTCGTCCGTCGTGCGTTAACATTTAAACATTTTCAGCTTTTTCTCGTGGTCCCTGTCCCCCTGGGGCCTGGGGGGATGGGACAGAAACCACTAAATTTAGTGCAATCTTTAAAAGTCTTCATCTTTACTTCCGGACATCAAGCAGTCAAACTGTTGGTATGATTGTAATCAGCATTGAGTCCTCTACCAAAATTGTGAAATTCATGGCCCCAGGGTCAGGGGTTCTGGTGTAAGGACGTGGCTCTATTGATTATATAGTGAAAATGAATTTATTCTTTTAAAATCTTCTTATCTGCTCCTGCGTATTAAATAAACTAATGAAGTTCATAGTTATGAAGAGCAAGAGTGCTTCTACCAATATATACTGAAAATGAATTGTTTGAAATCTGCTCCTTGGTATTAATCAAACATTTTTGATAAGCAAGTGTGCCTTTTCAAAAATTGTGCAATGTGTAGACCTAGGTTCAGGGGTTCATGTGTGGTAGGAGCACTGCTGATTATTGCTGAATATTACTGATTAGTTGACATACATTTTTGTTCCCCAACCCTGCTTATGGGTATTAAGTAAACAAACTAAAGAATTGCTAAGTGTATAGTTATGATTAGCAATGGTGTCTCTTTCAAAATTGTGAATGTTTATTGACAAGTAAGATTAAAAACTAACATGGGGTTATTGATTATTCTCTGCAGGAGATTATACTATATTTTATTTTTTCTGTTTCTGGAGCATCGTTTATGGCATTGATTTATAATCTTTTATGATCTACATGGGTTGTCTGATAGCATCGTGGAAAAGTTGTCTAGATTAAATATAATCATCACTGCATTCTAACATTTTCACTAGGTTTAAATACATATTTCCCCAATAAACATAGCAGATTTGAAATAGTTATAATAAATTGTGCAAAAATCAACACAAACTATCAGATTATATTTTTCCTTACGGCGCATGGATGATAACGTCAGTCAAAGTGTTTCAAGCAGCCGCATGTTTGCTCTTTGCTGATAAAAAAGTTGATTAATCCCTCTTAAATTTAAGAATTTCATTGATGCCCAAATTTGATTCTTCCCTTTTTCTCCATAACAAGTCGAGGAAACAATACCACACACACACAAACACCCTCACACACACTGAACCCTCTTAGTATTTATTTGCAAACTATTGTCAGTATTCTTTCACTATCATTAAAGAAAAGGATAATCTTAAATATGTCTTCAGTGAAAGCGTCCTTCGCTTTTACCATAACTTTTTGTCTATAGTTTTGTTCCATCTGGAGTGTCGATCAAAAAGATTAGTTTATAGTTATGACATTTCCCCGACCTTTAATATTAATGATCATGCGAAAAAAACTGCACAGTTTCACTATACAAAGGTTAAACTCTTTCCCCAGTACAGAATGCATCTGTCAAGGTTAAGATATTTTGGAAACATAGGCAAGAACTGTCCTTAACTCTCCCTAACATCTTCCCGGACCCGCCCTAAAACATAAAAACAGTGTCCTCTATTCCCCTTATTCAGTGAAATTCCATGATAATGTATAGGAACTCCTTTTCCCAAACAACTCTTTAACTAAGAAGCTTTGAATTTATATTTCTATATTTTGTAGAAAAGTTACCTAAAAAGTGTTGCCCTGTGTCTGCAAGTCGATTTTAGAGTAAGTAATTAACTAGCATATGCAGATTTAAATCTTCATAGTATTTAAGACGGTCGAACGTAATTTAATCACAATTAAACAATAAATATGTCCACACTCATCGTAGCCTTTTAAAATAATGCGCCACGATTGATTGTGCAGCGCTGTATTTCATTTATCCACTCATAGTGAGGAAAGGCGCACAGAAAACATGGTATATGTAAGTATAGTTTTAGAATAAATACAAAAGGCTCGATGTGAAAACTGTTTTTTTATTTTTCTTAGATTTGAGTAATTTTTTATTTTAATTTCAGTATTGCGATAAAGTCGACGACAATGTCTTTCATCATGAAATTTATAACAAAATCTCGCAAAGCATACCACAAAACAAGGAGCAGATATTAGAGGCCTTGATGGACATCAGAGACTCTATATGCGATATTCTACGAGGATGTGAAACAGATGTCATTGTGGAGGTTCATATAAATGATCATCAAATTCAGCCGATGATTATTCAAAGTGGGCACGGAGGAAACAAACTAGAAATGCGTATAGAAAAAGATGGAACAATTCATCTTCGCTGGATCAGACAAACCTGGTCTACGTACTTACGGAAAGCGTGGTTTAATATCTGGCCCGGAAAATAGTTTCAATGCAGCGTTGATTTTCGTAGGGGGTATTCCATTATTCGAGTCAGAGTTATCAATTAGATTCCTCGCAGCTGGTCAGACTATTCCTTTTTTCTTTCCTATTCACATTACAACAAATGTTTGCATGTAGTTAACGGAAAACTTGCCTATTTTGTAAATACCTTGCAATTTTTGCCATTTGTAGTTAGTAAAGCTAATAATTATTTTTTTTAAATGTTTTGTCCTCTGTATCGGGTATTGGTTACTGTAAACGTATTACATTTGGCTGTGTATTCCTTTTAGCGGCTTTGGCGGAACTCGGCAAACGCTAACTCAAGTACGATGCTAAATGTCTTGCACATATACACATTAAGATGAAAATGAAGAAGTGCGTTAAATCCAATCTATCTAACTTATTCAAAAGTAAATTTACGACAAATATTGGACACGCTAAATATAATACATTTACAGTAATTCAATACAGTAAAACTAATGTTTTCTTCTAGAATAAGTCAGTGTAATTTGGTATTTTGTTCAATAACGTATAATTGTCTTTTAATTCCCCCCCCCCCCCCCCAACCCCCAATAAAAAAAAACCAAAAAAAAAAAAAAAAAACAAAAAACAAAAAAACAAAAACAAAAACAAACAAAAAACAAACAAACAAACAAACATGCAATTACAATAATAAATACTTTATACATGTTTTAATAAGAAAATATTTCAAGCACAGTAAAAATTTAGTTACTTTTTTACTTGTAAAACATCCATAATATTTTTGCTTTTCAACATGTTATGTTAACGTAACATTTATACTTTCTTTTATAATGTTCATACATCTTTATGAAAAAATAAAATATCAATCATTATCCTACAGTCTCCAAGATTAACTTGAAATTTTAAAGCCAGGCAATACAGATGTGATCCCACTTTCCATATAGCTATTGCTCTTTATTTCCTTAATTTTGAATATTTAAAGTATATTTTGTCATAAAGACCCTCTTTTGTTGATTAGAAATAATTGCCTTTCAAATTATAACTGAAATGAAAAAACACAGATGGCCGGGAAAATGTGCTGATTATTACACATACATTTTCAAAATTCACTCAAGGAGTACCAGCAAGGGACCGAAAAGCCGAGAAAATTGCTTAACCCAGTTGGTTTGCATGATATAGGATGTGTGATAGCTCTCAGAACACACAGCGACCAGGGACGCAATTTTAAAAGTCAATTCATACAAAAAATAGGCATCGGAACCGAGAGGGGGGGGGGGCTAGGGGGGCTAGGGGGGTACTAACACCCCCAACTTTTTTGCAAATATATATTATATATAACATGGCATTGAAAATTGGGTTTACCTTTTTTGTTGGTTTAGCTCCCCTTTCAATTAGCCCCACAAGCCCCCCACTTTCAATTTTCTTCCGAAGCGCATGCAACAGCTTTTTAAGTTTTAAGATGTCCAGAAATGAAGAACTACCCCTAATCATGCCAAATGTAATCGACAGTGCGAACCATTTAAGCAGACCATACATGATCGACTATGTTCTTATTACTCCTGAACAACGAAAGAGATAAACGGAATACAGTATCTGCCAGAGTTAGTGAATGTTTACAACTCTACTGTGCATTCGTCAATTGGATTTTCTCCTTACTTTCTATTTTTTGACCGTGAACCTGTATGTCCAATAGATTTCATTTTCTGGAACTCATGCAGAGTCAGAGTCTGACCTTTTCTCCATAGAAGATTGAATTTAGAGGCAGTCCACTGATTTATTAACTAGAATGTGTTGCGTTAATAGATAGAATGTGACGAATATGTGATATTTTATTGAAAACAATATCTATGTACATGTACTCCAAATAGAATAATATAAATGAGGATTTTGCGGAAATTTTTTATTCAGTAAAACACCGGTATCGTTTTCTTTCGTGTGTTTTAAATTAATCTATATAAACCATTGAATGTAGGTCAGAAACAAAGAATTGCAAATCCTAATACAATTTTCAGATTTATAATTCACCCCGAACTAAATCTAGAAATACTTTATTTTTCAGTTTAAAAAATAAAATTAAGAACAAGATGTGTTTGTGAAACACAAGCCGGCGGCACAAAGTTCGAAAAAAAAACTATTTCAGCATATAAGTCAATGTCAATGTCACAAGGGTATTGACCTTTGTAGCATTTGAAAGAACTTGATTAGTGGAGTATGCACACCCAGTACAATATATGAAGTCCCTATCTCTCATGGTTCAAAAGTTATGATTAAGTTCAAAAAATATTTTTAGCATGTCAATGTCACAAGGTTTTTGACCTTTGTAGCATTTGAAAGAACTTGATTAGTGGAGTATGCACACCCAGTACAATATATGAAGTCCCTGTCTCTCATGGTTCAAAAGTTATGATTAAGTTCAAAAAATATTTTTAGCATGTCAATGTCACAAGGTTTTTGACCTTTGTAGCATTTGAAAGAACTTGATTAGTGGAGTATGCACACCCAGTACAATATATGAAGTCCCTATCTCTCATGGTTCAAAAGTTATGATTAAGGTTCAAAAAATTATTTTTAGCATACAGAACACACAGTCTAGGTCACAAGGTCATTTTCATAAAAAAAATGTGAAATTCCTTTAAAACGGTACTTCTCCCGCTGTTTTGGTCTTATTTCAATATGGCTTGACACGCAAGTTGAATACATTATTTAAACTAAAATATACATAATTCTATTTATCGCTGCCTGTTGAAAAGTTTCAAATCCAAGTTTCACTTTTCCATTGTTATATGGACACACCCGTTGAGCTATAGTCTAATTAGAGACCTCTGTTTTTTTAATTGTCATTTTCTCAATATTTTTATGAAAAGTATTCCTATATTATGTAAAAAGTAAGTTATAGAATATTTATAAATCATAAGCGTTGAAACCGGGGGAGGGGGGGGGGGGGATATGGGTTACTACGAATACTATAGCAATTTCCTGTTTACTGCCAATTTTATTTATAAAACCGGTTCTACCATATAACCATTTAATAGGTCAACCTAAATCACCTGTCTTGAATTTAAATCAAATAACATTAGCAGGGGTGTCGTATCTGATCTCACATAGTTATTCCCATGCATGTATTGTGTAAAAGTCACGATTTTTTTGACAATGTTACAAATACTATTAGAAGGATTATTGGTAATGGAATGTTATATCTTGTTTGCTATAAGGACGGCATTTTGATAAAACTGTGAATAGATAATATGAAAAGTCAAGGAAAGTATAAGCACCCCTACTAATGTTATTGTGATTTAAATCCAAGACACGTGGTTTAGGTTGATCTATTCAAAGGTTATAGAGTAGAACCGGTTCTATAAATAAAATTGGCAGTAAACATGATATTGCTATAGCCTGTTTCTTTTGAAAACATATCCTGTAATAAATTGTTTCCAAAACTTTCTTAAAGACTTTCATGATTTTCAACAGAAAAGGGGTGGCTAAAGGAGGGGGTGTTAAAATAACAATATTATATCATACTTTCGGCGAAAATTAGCTCACTAGTGACCGATTCGCTGGTAAAATATGTGTATTATCATCTACACCAGTCTGACAAGCCTTTGTTTGCCTTATATGGCTATTTTATAAATGCGCACAGAAAATCGTTCCACGAGCAACTGACCAATTGTTGAATGAATAGCAAAGTTCACGCCAAACACATGTTTACATTTTACTTCGAACACGTAGGTCGATGGACTGCAAAATAAAAAAAATGTTCTTACGAACAAAATACAAAGATAAAAAACTTTGAAAGATTTAAATGAACAAAACTTTGATTACGTTCATGATCACGTGTTCGGCCAGGGAATCCACTTGGCAATTATATTCACCGATAGTACAACAAAGGAATTAATACAGACACAAATCGCTTTTGCAGTATGACTTTCAGAAACCTAGACTCCCACTGTTTAACAAATGAATTGTTTGTCATTATGAGCATGAAAATAATATTTTTAAAAATGCTTTTCATTTACCATTATAAGATTTTCTCTTTTTCTCAAGCGTAAAATTCCTGTAGTATTCGTAGTAACCCATAATGCAATACTCATTCAGCTGATTGGTCAGTTAAAATCATGCTGGTGCCTCATTTGCTAATCTGACGCCAAAAAAATATAGTCCCGGTTACCATGCAAAAATATTTGTCCAAAAAGAAATTTAAATTTATGACTGCAGAAAATTGTAGTATAGAGAATACTTATTTAAGTTTGAATGAATGTAAAAGAGATCGATTGATTGAATTACATTTCTACAGACATTATCAGCTGAGTCTGGTGGTGAAAACTGAAACGCAACATAACTTTTCTGTTTACCATGCCTCCACGTGCTAGTCACTTCCTAGCCACATTTCCGTGAATAATTTACCCTATCTCGCTGAAGTCTCGCTAACTCTCGCCAGAGCCACTGCCAGAGCTGCTGGAACTCATCGGGTTTTATAATTTGCAGAACACCGAGAAATAAAAGGTTCCGAACACATTAGTAGGGGTGATAAGGAACCGACGTTGTTTGGCACGCTTGTTGTATAGCATTTAAAATTTTAGTTGTTTTCCTCATATACTTTAAGTTTACCCCGCATAGTTGACTTTAAATATTTATTTTTAAAATCTTCAAATGATTTACCTTTTTCAGCAGAAAGCATCATATATTGTGAAATCACTAATTTTCGTGGGGGTTTAATTTTCGTTGTTTTCGTGGTATGAAGAGACCCACGAATTCATGTCCACCACGAAATGTAAATGCTCATATGCACAACTACTGAAAAGTTCTTCATCCACGAAATAAAATCCCCACTAACCAACGTTTTTTCTTCAACCACGAAAATTTGACCCCACGAAAATATGTGATTTTACAGTATATGCATGTCCAATATTGATATGATGTATAAACTGTAAAAAATGATTCAAACATAACAAAGGATACGTAGACTGTGCTCAATGCACACAAATTATTAAAGCTATCCAAAAATAAAGGATCACAATAGGTGAAAACAGCAGTGCAACGGGTGATTGGAAACTAATTAATGTATTTACACAGTCATTGGTATCGGAGACTGCACGCATATTACTGTATACAGAATTATTTTTTTTGTTAAAGATATGTACTTTGAAGTATAAAGTTAAAATATATACCCGAGTAACAAAGGACCAGTTTTAATATT